TAGTTAGTTATAACAACAAAAACATTGTTCACAAGCCCAGTTGACATGTGCCTACAAGGCTAAAATGCTATGCTCATTTACTTTTCATCCTTCTAATGAGCTCTTAGCTGTCACTGTTACCCAATTACAATGACACTTAGGATCACGTGGTATCATCTGCACACACTATAAGCATGTGCTGTTTGCTGCTTTCTTGCTACCAGTGTTTTGATAATCACTGACTTTGTCAATTTTTCTGGTGTCTTAGCCACAATATTGCAGCAACTAGTATTGGTGAACCTTATCAATAACTTTTTTAAGAATAAAGTGTGATTAAAGGGAAAAAAAAAAAAAAAAAAAGCTTCCATGCAATTACTAATAAGGTTGTAGCTAATAATGTGATTCAGTGTGGAATGATTTTACAAGGTGTTTTTGTGTTAGTATTCATATAATCTAGGAAATATTACATTGAAGCAATTTACAACTATGTTTAACATGTTGTTCTTTGATTCAAATTGATAATAAACATTACTGAGGATTCTGTATGGTCTTGTATGGGAGGTGACACCATGAGTTATCACGCTGGGTGACACCAACCTTAGTGATGGCACTGACCAAAGTGTGGTCACAAGGCAAAGAATGGCCCTGCTCAAGCAGACAGCACCCAGGTGTCCCATTTGAGGGGTACTGGTCACTGTACTTACGTGACTGACTTGGTTGAGTCGGCCACTTTGGAGTGAACACTGATGATGAGACCGATCAGCACAAACACAGCAACCAGGATGATGGACCCAATGACAATTATGATGATGGACTTGACGTCAAATGTCTCACAGTTTTCTGGGCAGAGAAGTGCAGGCAAGCAGTGAATGGAGCTGCCCTCCCAACACATTCATTTAGCAACCTCAATAGTCTTTCGGTAGAGAAGAATGAAGGCCAAACTGTGATCCCCGAGTGTGTAACATGAGAGAAGCCGCCAAGGGAGGCCTAAGCTGGCCCAGGAGTATGGCAAAGGGTTTGTTTATGGATGACAAAGGATGGAAATACAAAATCCAGGGAGAAGGAAAATCAGAGGAGAGGAAGTGGGGGAAAAAACTTCATTTCCTTTCATATGCAGTCATTTGCAGCTGTCAGGAAAAAATAGATTGAACTAGTGATTTTACTCTCCAAATTTTGAATTCTCACTGATAACTGGGTCACACCACCTCAGGGTTTAAGGAGATTCCTGGGAGCTTCCAGAGAAATCCTTTCCTCAGGCTCAGAGAGAAGTGGCCTGCACCATCCAAGTTTCCAGAAAGCTCTTGTCCCTCGTTCTGTCTTTACTCCATTTTTCCCTCCTAAATCCTAAGTCTTTCCTGAACATTTAATGTGTTTAGAATAAGCAATTTTTTAAATCTAACACTCTGAAACTGGGGAAAACTGTGTTAGTAGAGAAGAATGAACAGTCAGTCAAGCATACTTACCACAGTTTGACTCTTCAGAGCTAGGTGAAGGCCAACAGTACAAAAAAATCACAGTAAAAATAAACTTTAGGGAAGAGGACATCTTCTTAGGAACTTCTCAAACCTCTAATTTGAGAAAGTTCTAATTATCCTTTTAGGAATAATGAAGACCTAAGTTTGAAGAGCACAGGCTTCTACCAGAGCTAGGAGAACGGACAGCCACTGTCCTGCTCCAACATTTATACCAGTGGGGACCCAGGCTGTGTGACATCAGCCCTTCAGACATCAGCACTCTTTCATAGCGTTCTGAATTCCATTAGGTGTATTACAGCCCCCATGGAAATACAAGTACCAAATGCTATTTTCAGTCACTCAATCCTAGGTCACACCTTTTCAGGTTTTATGTCCTTAAGAGAAATTTTTAGGGTTTGCCTATGAATGAAAAGCAAGTTTGACATTATGCTAAGTGAAATAAATCAGACTCCAAAGAACAAACACTGTATGATTCCACTTGTATGCAATAATCTAGAATAGGCAAATGCAGAGAGAGAACAGTTTATCAGTGATTACCAAGGGCTGGGGGAGGGAAGAATGAGCAGTTACTGCTTAAGGGGCACTGGTGTCTGTTTGGAAATGGAAAGTGGCGATGGCTGCAAAGCACGGTAACTGTGATGAATGGAACTGAACTATACACTTCAGAGTGGTTGAAATGGCAAATTTTTATAATAGATATTTTACCACAATAAAGATAAAAACAAGTTTGAGAGTTCAATAAAAATAAGTAAAAGGATAGTAGTGTGGAGAGGCTAATACCTAAAAATATTCGTATACCTAAGAGCTCTGTTATAAAGACCAAACCAAACCAAACTCACTGCCATCAAGTTGATTCCAACTTATAGCAACCCCTTTTGGGTTTCCAAGGTGGTAAATCTTTACAGAACTAGATGTTTCTCCGGATGTCACAAGATATCCACCTTTAACAGGGTGCAGTGTAACCATGTTTCTATCACTCTTTTAAGAATCCTCTCTCATAAACACTCAGAAAGCGTTTATTTTCATTTTATAGGACTGGAAAAGAAACAAAATCATTTTTTATGATTTGCATGTTATTCTAGTTACCTAGTGCTGCTCTGACAGGAATAGACCACAAATGGGATGACTTTAACAAACAGTTTATTCTTACAATTTTTGGAGGCTAGAAGTCTGAGTTCCAAGTGCCAGGCTCTAGGGGTTGGGTGAAAGCCCCTCAACCTCGGGCTTCAGCTCTGCCTCCTGCTCCCAGCCCACTGAAGCTAGAGGCATTTCTTCACTCAGACAGCTGCTGGCTGCTGAGACTGACAAGCCCAAGGCTGACAAGTAAAAAAGGCACAGTTGCAATGTTACCAAACCACATGGCAGGCAGTTAATTTAAGTCCACTGAAATTCCCAAAGTCGGCAAAGCATGGCAGGCTGCTGAAAAACAATTCAGCTACATGCAGGGTTCAAGTGGGCCATAAGCTAGTGATCGTTCCCCAAGGCTTCTCCTTATATACAGGAAGCAGACCATATCCCTAAGGCAGCTACTCAGCTTCTCACAGTAGATTTCATCATGGAGTTGATTACCAGTCTCATCAAGGGGAATACTACAACCAGCTGCCCAGGCACTCAACCAGGCCCAGCCAAGTTGACACCCAAACATAACTACTACATATTTATCCAAATTATGTACAGATATGTGCATATACAAAAATGTGTTAAATTCACTTTTTAATAAAAACATCTAACTGTTAAGGTTTGGGTTTTTAATGAAATTATTGAAACAGATTTCTAAGTCCATCCCTTATCAAAAAACTTTTGTTAAACTCTTGTTAAAAAGTTAAACTCTTTTAGCTTTTCTAAATTCCTTCAAAGCCTTTATGCAGCTAAAAACTTGTGTTTGCCTTGAAGACTCAGGCTCTTCATCATCTTCATTGTCCTTATCTTTACATTGTGAATCTATCATTTTTTTGCAGATTTATCCATTTCTGTGGCAGTTTCTTTGTCAATATAAGATGCAGTATTGACCCTGTTTTCTAAAACACCAATGTAAACGTCATTTATTTCATCCTGAATCTGCATGTTATCAGGTGCCACAACTATTTCATCTTGTGCACTATTGCTGCTGCCCAACAAGAAACATAGTTCTTAAAGCATTTTTTTAAGGTTTCTTCCTTCCTCATTTTGATTGATTGCTTAAGAAATGAAATTGCATCGAGGACATCAACTTTGCATCTTAATGTTGGCACTTTTGGAAGCAACGGCCTCCTGTTGTTTACCTTAATATTTTGGATAATGCCATTGTCCAGAAGTTGTAGGACTGATGTGGATGGTGGGGGAAAAATAATTTAATATTGGATAGGGGTATTAATTAATATTGGACTAGTAGCACTACCAACAAACAAATGAATTTTAGTTTTTTTCAGCTATTATTGAGATTTTTAAAAAGTCCTTTACAAATTTCTTCTGTAATCCAAGCTTTTTTATTCCATTTCCATTCAACAGAAAGCTGATTAATTTTTATATTCCTGAAGCACCGTGGTTTCTTGCTTTTTCCAATTACCCACAGTTTCTTAAATGTCCTGCCCGCAAACGTGGTCAAGAGAACGGTAAACCACTCTTCCAAAACCTGACCTCATGAGCATTTTCCTCCTTTCATTTCCAAGCTCTTCTTAGGCATTCCAGAAGGTTTTTACTGGCCAAATCTGTCTTGGAACAAGTACAAAAAGAATGGTTCTTACAAGGAAGGATGGCAAGAACTTCATCTCTGAATGTGTTGTCAGAAGAGCCCAGTTTCTGGTGAAGGACATTATGCTTGGTAGAGGGTCAGGGAGAAAGAGGAAGACCCTCAAAGAGATGGTTTAACACAGTAGCTGCAACAGTGGACTCAAACACAGCAACGATGTGAGTATGGTACAGGACTGGGCATGTTTCATTCTGTTATACACAGGGTTGCCTTGAGTCAGAACCAACTGAAGGGCACCTAAAAACAACAACAATTAGACTTTAGAAGCCCTGGTGGCACAATGGTTAAGCATCTGGCTGCTAACTGAGAGGTCAGTGGTTCCAAGCCACCAGCTACTCCATGGGAGAAAGATATCTGCTTCTGCAAAGATTTACAGTTTTGGAAACCCTACGGGACAGTTCTACTCTGCCCTATAGGATTGCTGAGTCAGAAACAACTTGATGGCAATGGATTTGGTTTGAGTTTATTACTGTCCTTCAAAATAGAGCAGTCTCTGGCATTTGCAATGTCTTTTAGGATCATATCCCTTACAAGCTCTTTTAATTTTGTGAACCACTTTTAAACAATATTTTTGTCAACCTCGTTTGACTCTCACAAGCTACACCACAGGTGCTTCCATGTGTTTTGGTTTTGTTTTTGTTGATTGCTTTGTTTTTGAAGCTCTGACACCATCTGTTAGACACTGAGAATCCATCAACTTTTTTAAATTTTGGTGTTTCCTTTCCTTTGCTTGTAGGATAAGTCCTGAAATGGGGACATTTTTGGTGGAGGCTGATTTGATTTGATTTCTGCATAACTTCCATCTCTTCCTTTCTTTATTTTTCTGTTGGTGCTGCGCATGTATTTTTCAATTATTTTCTCCTTTACTTTCATAATGGAGTAAATTTGAGTTCTGCCACACTTGAACTTAATGACAGTGCCCTTAACAGTTTTTTCTCTTCAGTTACCATTCTGACATCAAACTTTTCTTTCATAGATAAATTTCTCACTCTCTTGTCCATGGCTGTGAAGGAATAAGGTTTGTTTGTTTGTTTTAAAAAAAGGAAACAAGTTCTTATAAAAATTAAGGCATTTATGACCTTCTCAAAAACATGAGTTTCTCAAAAAGGAAAAAAATCATCATTATATGATAAAGTTAGCACACTTCAGTAAAATATTTTTTTTAAAAAAAGAGTATTTTTGCTTTTGAATGTGTTATCTGAAGAAATGCTTATCTATTTTTTGACAAAACAAGAAAATTTGAAGGAAAGAATTCAAGAAATGAAGGAGTGGATTTTGAGAATTGTAATAGCATGTATCAAAATTACAAACAGCTAAGGAAAAACTCTGAAGATAAAGAGAAGAGTAAAACCTGTCAAAACAAGGAAAAAAGCTGTATTTTGCTAGATTTTAATGAAAATAAAAGAATTTATTAGTATCTTTTACCTTCTTCCAAACTTAAGGGTGTTATTCATTGGAAACAAAATTTACAGATAAAAGCAAAGGCAAAAATGTAAAGAACAGATGTATACAGAGGACAGTAGCAGCATGCAATACATACTCACACAGTACAGCACAGATGGAAGTGGAAGGCTAAGCTTCCATCTCTGACTCTCACACTTCTTGGAACTGTTCCCAGCTTTTAGGATTGCTCTTCC